TCAATATATTTATCGACTTTATATTCACCATAGAATAGTGTTGACAAGTTCTCAATGCTTCCACAACGTGAACGTGATCGTAACGCCGTCATGGAAGCAAGTCAAAAATTGTATTGGTTAATTTTATCCCTCAACATTAACCCAAAATTGAATTAAGTAGACAGATTGAACAAATAGTCCCAGTTTTTTTGGATTCTAAACCAGCAATAACCCTTATTTGTATTAATTTTTAATGTTAATAGCTCTTCTTAATGTATTTGTTATTAGGTGTCGATGGTGCTATAGTCAGACACATCACCGGAACGGAAACGATTTTTCAAAAATGACCAACAACAACTGATTTCATTCTACCGCTTAGATCTATGAATGTAAATGTCTATGTAATGGAATACACTATACATATTGGTATGAGCTTTAAAATGTCGACCCAACATCTGTGTTAAACGAGTATCAAGCGTAATTTCCATTGTAGTCGATATTCGCTCATGATAAAGCCGAATTAAATAACACAAGGAAGGGGAGAAACGGACAGTGTTATTATTGTTCCTGGTAGCTATGGTGGGCGTTTTTCATTTTGCCTCCGTCTGTTTTTCGTGTTGTTCTTTCTATTCGGTTTACCGACCACAGATTCTGTTTATTATGCGTTACACGTTGACGATACACGCAGAATATCTATGGCAATGTCTGTGTAATTCATCACATACAGGTAACACCAGCGAAACGTATTGCCTAAATGTTCGAATGATGTATATCTCTATATATATAAAAATTTCGTGTATGTTAGTGATCGCTAAACTCGAAAACTACTGCACCGATTTATACCAAATTGTATATACAGCCTCTATGGGGCATGAGGAGTGTTTATGTGTAGTTTGAAGTTCATCTGACAGATGGCGCAATATTAAGTTTTTTTTTTGTTTTTGCACCGTATCTCAAGAACTACTGTACCGATTTTGACCAAACTGAATTTACAGGTTCTAAGGGGCGTTCGTCCAACAGATGGCGCGATATATAGATCCTTTGTGTTTTGCGTGCGTGTGTCGACGTTAAGTATTCCGAAACCGACTCATACATATCCTGTTTTCGTGAAAAGCTCGTGGAAGTCAAACGGAAAAGAATAACTTATCAAATTCAAGTAAAATTAATTTAAATCTTTTTATAAAAATGATGTAAAATTGTATAGTAACTTATCAATTGGGAACGGCGGAACCAATTTGACTAAAAATGTCTTTCTGTTGTCTGTATTTGAAGTGGGAAGGCTTTTATAAAAGAACATTTTGAGAAAAAATCCACGAAAATTTTGCAAAACATATTTTGAAGGAACGACTGAAACGATTTGCCTACCATTATGTGGGACATATACCATAAAGTTCTATACCGACAATTTACGGAGAAGTTTCTTATCCTACATGAAATGCCGAATTAAAGGCAATGTATACGGTATATGTTACTACTTTCAAAGTACATGATATGAAAAATGTTTCCACTGCGAATGACTGTACCAATTTGACTCACATTTTCCTTCGATTGTTTTTTATTGCAGTGGAAGAGTTCTACCAAAGAAAATTTTGAGAAAAACATAAAAAGTCGGAGATTGGAGTAATTGAACCAACACACCTTTTAAAGGACTTATGAATCCTATGTGATCCAAATAGGAATTGTAATTATCTTTTTAGATAAGAGTAGTTAGATCAAACCTTGACCTTCTCCTGAAAAATGTTTGGTAGAATAAACTGAAATACCACACATACTGACATAATTTAATATTTAACAATGAAGGTTAACCGCCATGAGGAAAATATTATGCATATTTTTTGATTATGGAAATTTGACGTACATTTATTGATAAATTGTTTCTGAAATATATTTTCCATGAATTCGTTAATTTTTACCAATTTACCCCATATTAATGCAATTTTGATAAGGCAAAACAAGGTTTGCCGGGTCTGCTAGTATAAATATATATACATATATAGCATATATATATATAGCATCAAAAACATTAGCAACATCAGCAACTGCTAGAAATATGTGTGTACATGGGAATATCCAAAAAGTTAAAGAAACCCGAAATGTTGCATAGAGTTGTCTTTTGTCTGTGGGCATGTCAAGTTCGAAGATGTGCTATATCGGTCCACGTTTAGGCATTGCTCCCATATATGGGTACCCACCAATTTTTGCAATATTTTGAAGTTCGGTTTCATTGTTTTTACATTTTGTGAATGTTGTTTCTGATTTTTGTGGGAAAAAAGTAAACAAAACAACATTAAAGTAATAATAGAAATATGTTCTGGATTTGTATTGGAATTTCTAATTACTGACTCTACAATACTAAATACACAAGACAAATTGCAAGAAAATTGCCGGTACGAGCAATTTTTTTTTTCTTTTCCCGTTGACCCTCTCTCCAACAAACAAAGACTTGCCACAAGTACTTGTCTAATCTAATTTGGGACAAACTTTTGAAGAATTTTGTTTTTAAAAAATCCGCGTTCATATCTTTTTGTAGAAATTCAAATCCGAATATATAGAGAAATGATTTAATTAATAAATCCGCCAAAAATTTAAAGATTTCCATTTACAATTATAATTTAATTACTCCCGAAAAAATCGATAACTTTTCTTGAACAATTCTGATTGGATGGTCTCTTACGGTAGGTATGATTTCCATTTACAATTATAATTTAATTACTCTCGAAAAAATCGATAACTTTTCTTGAACAATTCTGATCGGATGGTCTCGTACGGTAGGTATGATCGTAACGAAGTTTATTGTCGAACTTTGCCCCCTGTGTAAACACACTCGAGAATCATCGAGGGAATGTGTCGCTATATCCAGCGATACGCGAATAGGGTTCAAATTACATATTTATCAAAGAAGATTACTTAACATCTCATTCACTTGGGGTAATTTTTGGCCCCTTTTGGGGTTTTTGCATAGTAAAGTGCATCGGGCTGCATACTTTGGTACTAAAATGAAAGATCAAAAATTCGTAATTATGGTGTATGCAGAAAATGCATGTGCACATATCATTTTCAACGACTACTTGAATTTCATGCTTGCTAATGTTGATCTGATTATATGTTTTGTAATTGCAATGTATTCTTATCAGTTTAATCTATAGATCTTCAAAAATCGTTTAAATCAATTGTAAAAGAATACGACCCGTATTGTTGAAGATTTTGGGAAAACCGCATCCCTTAAATCAAAATTTCCAAAAAAGATTATGGCAATTCAGAAATTAATTTATTTTATTTTCAAATATCCCCATCTTCCTACCAAAACTTTTCCATACTGTTTAATTTTTTAGGACAGCCTCCATATAACTAAAGGTGCTTCTCAAATTTCGTTAATTTGTAGAATTTGGGCAAGTTTTCCAACATAATTGGCAGTAGTATGGCATTTTGAATTCACATTAGCTAACAAATCGTCGTGCTAATAGTCATGGTATAATCTTACCCATTATCTGTTAAATCTTACTACCAAAAAATGTTTCAGGCATAACCCGCCATATCTAAGTTCCCGAACGATTACAGATATTTTAAATGTACACCTCATGGTGAAGCGTATAAAAAAGACGTTTTTACTTGTTTAATTTTCATTTATAATTTCCAATTTTTATTGCTGCTGTAGTCCAAAGCAAAAAATAATATTGACTGATACGCAATCGGGATGTCACAGAAATTTTCAAAGTCTTACATTCCAATTGAGCCAAGTAAAGTATTCGGCTAATGTGGATTGCACATTGTAATATTCATGACAATATTTCACCAAACCTAGATCAAGTTCGAAGATGGGAAATATTAGATCACACCTTCTAACAAATGCACCGTGTATACAACTATTTGATTAAAAACCTGTAAGGAAAGTAGTAAAGTCGGACTGGGCCGACTCTGTGAGACCCTTCGCCATTTTGGGTATATTTTACATATGTATCCTAACAGACGACGCGTTTTTTTTTTATAAATTTGAACCGAAACTTGCCAGAGGCTAATTTATATAACATCAGTACGTTGTGTCAATCGTCCTAGCTATGGATCTTTTCACGAAGCTTAGCAACATCATTCTAGACTTAATTCAGTACCCTATACCAAAATTCGTGCAAATCGAAAGATATATAGGGTCTTTGGTGCACCAATTACCATAAATCGGATGAAAATACATATGGGAGCTATATCTAAATCTGAACCGATTTTCAAGAAACTTGGCAGACATCATTCTCGATCCTATTCATGACTCTGTGCCAATTTCGTGCACATCAAAAGATTTCCAAGGACTTTAGTGGACTATTTACCTAAAATCAAGCGAAGCTATATATCTAAATCTGAACCGATTTTCTCAAAACTTTGGTGCACCATTTACCTTAAATCGGACAAAAATATATATGGGAGCTATATCTAAATTTGAACCGATTTTCCCCCATTTCAATAGGGTTCGTCCTTGGGCCAAACAAATGAGCTGTGCCAAATTTCATCCAATTCGGATAATAAATGCGACCTGTACTTTGTTTACAATTTAACACGGACAGACGGGCGTACATGCATAAATCGACTTAGAAAGTGATTCTATGCATATTCTCAAAAGGAACCATGGGTCTATCTCGATTATTTTTACCTGTAACAAACATATGCACAAAGACATAATACCCTGTACCACAGTGTGGTGAAGGGTATAAAAAACCATATATGTCACATGAAGTGTCCTGTTCAGTCAAAATTTTATATTTGAGAGAATCACACATTTCATGATCTTAATGTCAAAGTAAATGTTTAATTATTCTACTTGAATCATGCCTGATAGGCCTATCCGGTAACTTTAAACAACATTCGAGTAATTTTAAACCTTTGTATGAAAAAATAGAATTACATACCTCGACAATACTGAAACATTTCTATACAAATATTAATCAAAATACAAATTGTCGAAGAAAATTTATTTTGTCTATATTTACTGGAATAGCTGTTGTTTTCTATATATCGAATTGTTGTTCACATTAATAATGAATACCTTCGAAGTGGATTATTATAATGTTTTGAATGTTTCGCGAAATGCTACAAAGGAGGATATTTTAAAGAGCTATCGTAATTTGGCGATCAAACTATTTCCGTTGCGAGATGCCCAAAATATCAGAGATGTCTGCGGCAAAGACCATGAGAATATATTCACACATATGTCACCGTTGCCCTTGAGTCGCCAATGGAAATACATAAATATGGCTTGTGATATTCTTGGTAATAATATTTCTGGAGAACTTCAATGATATTTTTTTGGAAATTTGTGTTTTTTTTTATTTGTAGGAGATGATTTGCGACGCTCAATTTATGATCGGTTTGGAGAATCTGGTTTATTACAAGGCATTTATTTGCCAGATGGTTATTTTCCGCCCTACCAATATCACGGAAACCATATGAAGGTGTACCATACAATCTTCGGTAGCTATTCTCCATATTCACATATTATCGATGCCATAGTCAGCCCAACGCCTCCACAATTTGGCAAAAACGCCAATGGGATCGGAAGCAAAATCAAGGATCCGCCAATTTTCAAACAAATTCTTGTAGAATTGGAGGACGTTTTTAATGGCTGTGTTAAGCTGATGCATGTTTGGCGTGAAGAGTTTGTGGATAAGAATAAATTTCGCACTGAGAAACGCCGGAAGACCCTTACCCTTAGCATACCCCCAGGAGTTACAGCAGGAACTCGTTTCTGTTTCTATGAAGAGGGTGACCGTGCTCCCACCAAAATACCTGCCGACATTATCTTCATCGTAGAGGACATGCCACATAAGCATTTTAAGAGAATAAACCAGCACGACATTATCTATGTCCACGAAATAAATTTGTGTCAGGCGTTGACTGGCTTCCAGTTTATTGTGCAGACCTTGGATAAACGTGACTTGAAAATATCGATATCGGATGTTGTTTATCCTGGATTTCTCAAAAGAGTAATCGGCGAAGGACTGCCAAAGTGCAATGCTTTGGACATTTCGGGAACAGCTGCACCTTGCAACTCTGTTACTAAGGATTATGGCAACCTAATTATTGAATTTAAAAGTATAACTTATAATCGAATTTGAACTATTTGAAATTTAACCTGTTTCTTATTTGAAAAGTTATATTTCCATCGTATCTAACGAAAGAGATGAAACAATTAACAAGGAACTACTTTGCGGAACTTAGCATCAAAGAGAACGAAGAGTCGTCAAAAAATAGTACTTGTTATCAGAAATAAGCAAATTGTACATATTTATTTCCCAGTTGCAGATAAGGCGAATTGTTCATGATATCTATAGAATTCCTTACAACTTTCGATTTGCTGAATTTATTGGAAGAGGAAATCGTTCCATTTCTTCCTTACTTTTTAAGTTCATTTGTGGCTAAAAAATCAGGATTTTTTTAAAACAAAAAAAACTCTTTGCAAAATTTATAGTTTTAGCTTCTACCAACAAACATGTACACTTTTTCATCTTGTTGAAATTGTTGGTTTCTGATATTTCATTGATCGGAACTAAATTGTGCCGTCAATAAAGGAACAAAAATATTAAATAAAAAATTATATTTTAGCTTTTCTTTAAATAAATGAAATAATATTTTCGAGGGCGTAAAACATCCTCCTTTAATTGGGAATTCCATAAAAAAAAGAAAAACATTATTGTTCATGTTTTTATATAAAAGGGTCCTGATCGATTTTACACACCTCATGCTAGAGGGAATTAAATGATAGCCCAGCCTATTTTTAACATCGTTTTTACTTATTTTGTATTTCAAATGTATGTGAGACAAATGGTCCATTTATGGAATGAGGCAAACATGATTTTTTTCGTAAAATGGAAGGAAATCATGGATTCTCCATAATTTTGTCATTCGCGTTGAGCGTATTGTATTCGCGTTGAGCGGATTGTATTTTATAGGATCCCAAATAATATTAACTCGGAATATTTTACATTTTTCCATGGTCCAAATCTTAATTTGCATTAAAAAAATCTTAATTGGAATTAATATTTACCCCTGACAGATGACAGTTTCTGCATTTACAAAACAGTTTTTTTGTTTCAAAACAATTCTTTGTCTGTGTGTATTTTCCGGAATTACATCGTTATTTCCGGAATTACATCGTTAGGAAATAGATAAAAAAAGAATATCAGCTATGTTGGCAGAAAAAATCTCCCAATTTAAAAGAATTTTGAAAATTTTTCTTGTTTCTCATTTTTATTTTTATAAACGTAAACAAATTTGACAACAATTAATTGATTTTCGACAGCATTGCCATATTGAAATTGGTACTGAATTATTCAGTTTGATTTTGTGCATTAAAAATGAGGATAATGTACAAGTTAATTTGAATTAAGGGTGTTAATGCAAATTAAGGCTATCGTCTATCTAGGCTATTACACAGTTGTTTTTGAAATTGAAAAATTATTCTACATACTTTTGATAGCCAGCTAGGTTTTTTTATTAGAAATTAAATATTTTGACAAAAAATGTAGGTAGCAGCTGGCCTTACTGACCTATTATATAGACCTTGCTCTTTTCAATACATCAGTTTTGAACTTTTTGTCAGAAAATCAAAAAAACAAAAAAAAAATAATATTTTTATCATATAAAGTTTCGGTAATGGATTATCCAATTTCTTGTCGTCAAAATAACTGGAGCAGTAAGTCGTTGAAAAATTATTCAACAATAGAATCAATTAGAAGGCATTTAGCCCGAGGCAATTCTAGCTATTTATGCCGTCATCCAGAGGTTCGTATTGATTCCTACAGATTTCTCCTAAGCAACATAACTAAATGTTAAATTTTCATATTATGTTAGTAAGTACATGTGTGTATGTAGGTATTACTCATTTACTCCAAAATCGCATAAAAAATTAGTTTTCTAATTCAAATCATGATTATTCTTCAACTATCTCAGAGTTTGAGATATACTAATTGTAATCATTGACGGAGCAGGAGAGCGCTTCTCCTAAATATCAATATGCAGCAAAATAGAGTTCATCTGGGAGTGGAAAATTCCATTTGAGGACGAAAGCCTTTGGCGAGTGTGTTAAGAATCCCAAAGGGAATATGCTCTTTGGGCAATAATTCAAGTTTTTGAGTTATGGTGTGCCGAATTATTTGTTTTTGCCCTTAAATTCAATTTTTGCATCTATTGCACGTAATATTTCAGTTGACATGTGTTTAGTCAAATCGACTGAGGAATATTTTTATTGTGCCCTTGACCTCGACTCCTGTGTGTATATTAAAATTGTCATTCCCATAATGTATTTACATATGTATATTCTTGATCAGAATAAAATTCTATGTCGAATTATCTTTTTTCGTCCATCTGTTTGCCCGTCTGTTAAAATCACGGACAGGGGTAGTAATATTTAAGATAGCACTGAAATTTTGACAGATATTGCTAGTAATTCTATGGTATTTGGTAATTCAATATTGTAATGTAATCGAGATAGATAGATGGTTCCTTTTGAGAATATGTATAAAATCACTTTCTGAGTCGATTTATGCATGTCCGTCGGCCCGTCCATGTATTTTTATGAGCAATGTCCAGGACGTATTTATGATCCAATTTGGATGACATTTGGCACAGAGGCCCAAGGACGAACCGTATTGAAATTGGTTGAAAATTGATTCAGATTTTGATGACACCTATATAGTGTCATCCGATTTTATGTGAATGGTGCAGCAAACTGTCATATTTTGTCCGATTGAGACACAGCGTACTGAATTAGATCCAGGTTGATGTATGCGAAGTTTTGTCGAAATCGGTTCAGATTTAGATATAGTTCCCAAGTATAGTTTCGTCCGATGGTAAATGGTTTGCCACATTCCCAATAGTTTTCCAATTCAGACAAAATGTTGCACAGCGTACGGAATTAAGTCCAGATTGACTTGTCAAGGTAGCCCTCATATAACAGTACCCCAATATTTAAGGTTTAAAATTGCATTTTAAAGACACATTTCAGGCGTTATGTCTTAAATACAAAAACAAAAAACAATATTTTTTTGACTTTCCGCCAAAAATCGTTTGGAAGATAGAAAACACGATCTCAGTTCGTTATTTCAATATAGGCTAGATGCCCAACTTTCATCGTTTTGATTAGCGTCGGTTTTTTTAAAGCTGGAAATTAGCGTTGTTGTTATTTCAAGTTGCGTCTATCCTGTGATGGCCATTTTTCGCATTTGTAGTGCTATCATTTTTCAACAAAATCTTTATATACATTTGTATGTCAAAAACAATATTTTTAGAAGAACACTCAACACTCACGCCAAACAAAACCTTTTGATCGGCCATACTTACATACTCATGTAGTCCAAAATTATCCAGCTTTCTTTAAATTATAGCTAAGAGCAATTATACGAGTGTTTCTACACGAACTAATCGATAAACAACCGGAGAATATCTATGAATTTTCAGCGGCGCTTTTTAATTGCAACAATTCGCCCCTGTTGGTCACCAAGGTAGTGTTTTCATCTTAACGTGATTTGTTGACAACCACTACCCAGTGAAGGGATTTTGTTTTGTTTTCTTTCGCTTTCAGATAAACAAACAACTGGATTTGGCCAATAAAAAACTGAAGAGAAGCCAATGGTCCGAATACGATATTGAGAACAAATTTTCCGAGATGACGTCAACACATTCTCTGCTGTCGAGAACCTCTATTTCTCCCGACATTGATGCTATATTGCGTTACGCCATGGTGCTAAGAGATGTAAATTAACACACAGAAGCGCGTCGCTCACTCGTAGTAAAGCGATAGTTTTTTTTTCATTTTTTTTCGCATTTCAAAATTAACAAAAAACGTGAATCTAAGAATAATCGCGTAAATTTTATATTGAGTTTACATGATATTAACAAAGCACAACACAAAGCATCAGTATCGAATGTAAACAATTTCCAAAAAATCACATTAAATAAATGGATGTTAGTAGGACTAATACCCAAATCAAAGGACAATATTAAAAAAAAAAAATAATTACATATTATTTTAAAAATACATTGTCTTAATGGAAGTTAATTTATTACAGATAATTCCGGCTAAACTCATTTTTGAATAAGTATTAAAAATACTATATACTAAATCGAAAATTTGTATAAATATTCTTAAACAATGTATATTAAATTTGTCATTCCCTTTGCAACACCTCGAAATATTCACCACAGATATAGTGGTGTATATATTTATGATCAGAACAAAATCCTATGCCGATTCAATATGGCCCCCATTAGAGCAGTACCTCCCATCCTTCGGTATTTTAAGGTGTTTGGGTACGCTTTTCTATTTGAATGTATTGAGATACTTTGCCAAAACCCCAACTATATATAGCATACCTCATACCAGTCGTACTTACCAAAAAACGACAAAAATTTTATATAAATTGCTATTTTTACAATAAAATGTGTTTTTTATTATTAAATTATTGTTCGCATGTGTACATTGTTGATCGATCGTAAGCTTCGTGTAGGCGTTTTTTCTTCAGTATTGTTGAATATTTTCTAAATTAATCAGCTGTTTGGTGTAAAATGCTACAGAACAAATGCCACAAAACATCAACTAAAATCGCACTTGTTTTATTGTTCATTTTAGTATCAAATGAAATCGTTTTCCACACAAATCTTCTATTCCATTCTCATTTATGTTATTTTACCATTTTGAAATGCCGTTGTATTTTGTTCACACAAATGCCTCACTTTGGCGTAAAATGGCATTTGGAGACTATCTATTCCAATTATTTGTGTTCACAATAAATCGGCGTTTTTATTCAAATGCAATATCTTCTGGGCGAAGGATACAATGGCCGATGCAGGCTGTGTTGCAGCCAAGTCACAAAAAACGAAACATTGATTATCACGACTGCCAGCCGGTCGAGCTACAAATCCAAATATTGTCTTGTTCACGGCGCGATTTAAGCCCTCATCATTTGCCAGCACTGTGTAGAATCGATTGTCTGGATCAACGGCAATGTAGGAAATGGAGTTGGTAGTATAATGTCGTCGGAAGAAAAGCCGTCTCTTGTTATCTGTCAGCGTGATTCCATTTTGCGTTACTTTAAAATGCACCTCGATAGGATTATGTGTGGCCGACTGGGCGTACATTTCGTGAACTGCACGACGCAAAGCCTCATCGCCTGTTAGGGATTCCGTGTTCATGCTGAAAATGAGTAGCACATTGCATGCCGCACCCTGTTGTAGCAATTGTTTCTGCCTCTGGATCATGTCACGATCCGCTTCGGATAGCATTATATCTTGGTTGGGTATGACAAGTTTGCAGGGCAATGCCAGCTGGTTAATGGAGTGCTGATATACTAGGGCCGATAGTGATGTGAATGCAGGCTCATTAACACATCCCTTGAGACGAACGCCTCGCGTAGTGGGCTCCAGAAGAAAATGTCGAACCAATACATCACTATTAGGAGTATTTTCGGCTACCGACACCCCCTGTGGAGGTTTGGCGACACGCAACACCAATCCAAATGCCCCTTTATAAGTGGTAGAATTGCGTATGATGAAAGTACCAGGTTCGGCATGTCGTAGAAGTGACACGGCCTCCTCCCTTGTCATGTGTGGTTTGTACCAAAATTCGGAAGAATCCCTAGCAAATTTCACCAAGTGAGGGGCAACATCGTGATGAACTTCCGCATGCTTTTTCTCTTTAGATTTAGACGGGATAATCGAGGGTAAAGCTGGCAATTTCAGTGGCGAACGTTTCTTTTCACTCGCTTTATTCGTAAATGAATTGGTACGTGGAAGAATTGGTGATGCCGGGGCAGACAACTGGTATGGACTTACACAGCGATCTTCCAATGTAGATTTCGTAGATACAGGAAAGGCGGGGGTTTCGGGTCTCTTGGCTTCGACGAGTGCGAGCGACGGTTCACATCTGCTGGGGGCCTCCACAATGGCATTTGACGGTGTTGTCTGGTCAACGGAAGCATTTTCATCGGGTAAATCTATGGTTTCCACAAGTTTGACAACCTCACGGCAGGTATTCTCAGCTACGGAAGACGTTTGAACTTTTTGTGCCTCAGACATTTGCAGTAATGCACTCTTGTTCAATTTCTCTTGTAGCTCATCTAAGTCTTTTTGGATGGACGCGTTCTGTGCTTCTTTCAATGCCAAGTTCTGTTCTCTAAGTGACTGTTCCTGACGTTCTCTTAGCATTTCTTCAAATTCCTGACGTGATGGCGTTTTTCGTAGAACCGGTCTGGAGGGAGAAACGCTAGGACGAGCGGTCTTCCTTTGAGCCGTTGGGCTTGGCGGTAACGATGTTGGTGTTGGTGCCTTATTGAATGTTTTCGGTGTATCCGGAATATCGTCCAGTGACACATGATTCAAATCGCTTTTCTTAAAGCCCTTGGGAAGTTTTCCATACGTAAAGGGTCTTGCATGTTCACGCGCATGATAGGGAATCTCATTTTCCGTCTCATCGGTGTCTGACGAAGCGAAACTATATTGTTTTCGATCATTATCATTTAAATATGGATTTCGCGAATTTTCAAATGTGGTCATTTTAATTTTATACCCAAATTTATTGTTGTTGTGTTTTTTTTTTATTTTTTGTGGACGGATATGAATTAATTTCGTTCTAAAATAGCACTAGACAGCAGTGCTTCTCGCGATATACTAACGCAATTGGAACACACATTCGCCTGCCATCTGTTTTGCTCATATTGCCATTTAGCGAAATGAGAGCGACGCCACTTGAATAAGTTCGGTGCGTAAATATAAATATATAAATATAGAGGTTTGTGAGTATGTTTATTCATACTCTCAGTGTTTTCATTGTACTACCTAAATTTTCGTGTACAGTGGGTATAGGAACAATTCCACAAACGGACTGACATCAAATCTATAATTGATTATTTAAATTCAAATTCGGGACATCTACAATAAAATCGTTTGAGAAGGGGATACTTCATGTTGCAGTAGATTAACTTTTTTTGAAGTGAAATAACCCAATATTTTACAGTAAAAGCCCATTAATGGTTGTATTAAGCCCTAAACTACTGAAAACAAAAATCTTTCGGTAAATCATTAGATAACAAATATTCATGGCGGGATATAGGGTCTATATAAAGGTAGCCCACTACTAACGTTACTGGTGCAATTTATGTTATATTCCCTATATTAAGATCCCAAAGTCATTCGCTCCATTGTATATAGCTTAGTGTGGGTGGGAAAATTTATTAAAAGTAACGAATGTAAAAAAGTTTTGTCGAAATCGGTTCAGATTTAAATATAGCTTTCATATTTCGCTCTTTTGCTCCAAGACCCTAGGAAGAGTCCCATATAGTTTCGTCCGATTCGTCCCGTTACAATTATTCAATTTTGGCTATAGGAACTTATAAATTAGGGTATCCTCTTCAAATAATATTTTCAATGATCTTATTCTAAATTGGTTCCAAAACGTACCAGAAAAAATAATAGATGAATTTAAATAGTGTAATGTTGCCGCGATAATACAAGAATATATATATGTATATATGGGCAATATTGCAAATTTTTTAATATTCCATTTTCAAAAAAATCAGCTTTTTTGTTTTAGTGGCACATCAATGATTTTTTGTTCTGACTCCGAAACAGTTCGCGATCAAATTTTTGGTTGATGCGCGCAAAAGTTATCGAGGTTCTAATTTTGGGCATACAAAAAAATTTTAAAATTACGCCGTTTATTATATTGACCAAAAACGTTGATATGTATCTTCCTCCGTAAAATAAGAATATGAATATATTATAATAACATCAATACATCAATATTTTCATTATATTAATGACATACACACACCTAAAAATTAATTTAAAAATATCTACATAATCTAAACACCATGATGAATCAAATGATATCAAAATCACACAAGTCCGTGTAGCGGTTTGTAAATCACAGCGACGACAAAACAAGATATTGAGGAAAAATATTTGTTTTTGGTTCGAAAAAATAATGTCATCATATTTTTTTTTTAATTTCATACAATGGGGGTTGGGGTTATTCTGCTATTTTACCCGAATTTCGCCGAAAAATTTACATATATAAAAATAATAACTTTTTGTGTATACTTATATATATAATCCGCCTTGCGGATTATATCAAGACCCTTTCGATAAATCTTGTGGTTCTATAAATAGGAATAAATCTTAAAATAAAATAATATTATCAAATATACATTTTAAATTGAGTCTATTAAGAACCATGGTTGTGCCAGCTCACACTATTTTTGAGATAAGTTGGGAATATCTCTCTTTCGGCTGAAGTTTTTAAAGTTCTCTTTTCGAAAAAGATCAAAATCCGTATGAGGTCATTTATTGAAGCGTGTTTTTGGAAGGCCAGTTCCGGCCGTTCTAGTAGATGGATTTTCACGAAGAAGATTTTATAACATCCGAAACGTAAAAAACCATATTGATCACGGGTACCCATATCATTCACTTGACAGATCTAAAAATTTGGCCCGATAAAATAGGTTTTTTAGAAATTTGATCGCACAAAATATTCACCATCGAATCAGTATTACTGTGAAGCTGTGCATACTACATACACAAAATACATATCAAATTACGCAGATTCGCGACTACAATAATCTTATAATCGAAATGTCAGCATCATTTAAAGCTAGATGCAGTTAAAGTTTTGAAAAATGATACATAAGGGGCATAGTCCCCATTTTGTTGTCTTCTAGTTATACTTTGACACGAAGACCATGAAATGAGTGGCTTAATCACAAATCGATAGAGAACATAAAAAACTGGTTCGCCTCAACCTGTTTTTGCACATTTTTTTACATTAAAGTAGACGCAGCTTCCACCAAAATAAAGTTTGGAGGTAAATATCATGAACAGTTTGCAACGACGGATCCATTAACCCAAAACTATTCACTTCTTTTTCAGTGTTTTAATTAACCCTCGATACGTTTGGAATATTTTTTATTCAAAATTCTTATGTGTACTGTACTAGATCGATTAAGTGTGAGAACAGTAAATTATCACGGGAAATTTGTGATATATAACGGCATTTATGAAACAAGTCAAATTTGATTTTAAAATTGTATTTATAACTACCTATACATATAGGTCCAGAATAACATGTTAAAATTTGAGACCGATTGGATAGTTTATGAGTTATAGTGCTTTTTAATGCTTGACACTATATACACTATAAATCAATTAAATCTTCAAAAGTTTTTAAAATTCATTGAAATTTTAAAGAGACATTCTTGAGTAATTATAGTTTATAATTAAATAAAAAAAGTAATTTTTTGAAAACGAGAATGTGGGGGTCCCCTTACGGCGTCTCGCTATAAAAAAATAAAACAAAAGATCGTGTTATTCACATAATTCTGCACAAACCGTAACATCTGCTGTGGACATAACGAATCCCCAAGCACTGTGTCATCGTCCTAATCTATTTTGGGGACTATGCTTTGATTTTACCTGTTTACCTCATAGATATGAATTTTGAATTAAAAACACCAACATTATTCGCCAGTTGATGACGAGGTGTCCCCTTAGCAGATGTTTTCTCGTACGAATGTATGTCTTCGTGTTTTTATTTAGATTTACTTAAAAAAACGGCGTACAGTGGTTCCATGTTGGGCATTGTGATGTGGTCTCAATTTGACTGAATTATTTTGAGTAAATTCAGCATTACATCAATGAGAGAGTGTACAACATAAACTCATAGCGCACATTCTCGTGCTTAACAAATATCTCAATGCCAAATAATGTGACAGCTACATATGATAAATATAAACTCGCTACAATTAGAATCCTTCCCTATTTGTTTTTTCTATACGAGTATGTTTTAAAAATAATTTCCATAAAATAAACAATTACTAATGAACCAATAGCAAATGGCAATGTATTGTAAACGAGATGTTTATTGATTCCAGAACACTATTTAATTAACTTGGAGCGTGCTATATAAAAATGTATTCTTTACTTATCTCCACTGTGATTACTAGACAACTCAGAACATACTTAGAAATTTTTATACCCTTCACCACACTGTTGTACAGGGTATTATGTCTTTGTGCATATGTTTGTAACAGGCAAAAATAATCGAGATAGACCCATGGTTCCTTCTGAAAATATACATAGAATCACTTTCTGAGTCGATTTATGCTCCCACATATACTTTCGTCCGATTTTATGTAAATGGTGCACCAAAGTTCCTATATATCCTTCGATTTCCACGAAAATTGGCACAACGTACTGAATTAAGTCTAGAACGATGTGTGTTAAATTTCGTGAAAATGGGTTCAGATTTAGATATAGCTCCCATATATATTTTCGTCCGATTTTATGTAAATGGTGCACCCTATATATCCTTAGATTTCACGGAATTTGGATTTATAAGTAAATGAAGAACTCAAAATGTGGCCGAATGCACAAAACATACTGAAATAAGTGTAACCTATAATGTGACAAGTTTCGATGAAATCGGTTTAGATTTCGATATTTTGCTTTAAATTTATTTACATAATTTTGTATCATTGTAAGAAGCAAATGTATATCTGACCAAAATTTAGTATAGGTTTGCAGAATGACATGTTTAATTTCATGTTAATGGTCCTTTAAAAATGCGACGTCTGTTAAGATTCCATCTGTTGAATATACCCAAAGTGTTGAAGGGTATAATATAGTCGGCCCCGTCCGGCTTTACTACTATCCTTACTGGTTTTAAATTGATTATTCATGGTATATCCAACTTCGATATTCAGTTAAGATTTCATTTAAAACGTCCGATTTCGTCTAAAGCGTCTTCAAAAATCGAATGTTTATCCGATATCACCAAAATACAGATATACACACAGGTTGAAAAAGTAGGTTATTACCTTTAACATACCGAAAATATCGCGTGGAGCCTATGTAGAAACATAGACCTTTACGTAAATATTCTGTCAAGATCGCGAAATTGCAGTTTACAGCCACTGAGTCTATACTAAAATGTAGAGCAATAATGATCATTTTCGGTACGAAGATTTGACACACTTTGAGAATCCAATATTCGGATAAAGAACTTGATCAAAGTTTCTAAAAGAGGAATAATGAAGTGTACGAAACATGTGCCAATTTGATAATCCAAAATAAAAACTACAGCCAATTTGATTTAAAAACGTGCCCAACATTTCGGAATTTGCGAGTTTCTGTTTTATCGAGGCTACCCCAAAAATGGAATCAATATTGATTATTTTTTATTGGTTTGCTACCCAATGAGAATTACAAATACATTTAAATACGGAAAATTCAGTTGGAAAACTGGTGTCTCCGTTGAAGTTTTTCTGATGCTGCAAACAGAATGTCAAAAAAGTGTCAATTGGTGTTAACGACAGATATATATCCGCAGTCTATGGTTTACGGATGTCCTGGGAATTACACACAGGTTTTGGGATTATAGGATTCCATTTTGGACTTGGTAAAGAAGATGGATTGTGCAAAGTTAGGTTCAAAACGGACATTCCATTCTCTTGATATTGAATTTATAAATAATGAAAATTTTTACCATTTTTGGAGAGGTGCCAGATGGAGGGGAGCCATCTTCGGAC